TGTCATCCAACTCCTGCTCTGTCGCAGGAACTCGTTTTAAACATCCAAAAGTTGGGTTGACGGTTTCTGTCTGTGAACAATTGTGATCAGTTTTCATCTTGATGCCACTCCAATGGTAAAACCCTCACAATCCAGTTAGACGTAGTACTGAGCTGCTCAGAGGAGTGTGGTGACCTTCAGAGCCTGACAAGTTCAGATTCTTTCCTGCCGTTGTCGCACATTTCGGTACTCTAGCGTGGAAACCTTCTGCAGTGCACGTGCAGTTGTTAGTGCCTGTTCTGCTTCATGTTGCAGCAAACAATTTGTCCTAGTTTTTCATAACTTCTCATCCCGGCTTTCTTCCTCTCATTCCTCTAGTGAACTTCTGTTGTTCATCTCCCTTCTCATCCCTTCATCTGCCTGGAGTGAGGACAGAGGGTCCACAGAAGGAGCAGTAAATGGCTAAAAGTTGTACTTCAGCTAGTTTCCCAAAGTCGCAGGTACAGTAAACGAAGAAGGATTTGGTATTTTTACAGCACTGCAGTATCTCCTCAGCAGGAAGCACACAGCAGGTGTCTCCATCTGTGATGATCTGAAGAACCATTTTTAACAATCTTCTTACTAAGTAGAACTTATGAAGACTCTCAAATAAATGTTACCTTTACAATTAGGATAAAGTGTTTTAAAAAGTTGAGTTTAAGTGTTACACAAAAAGCAATCCTATTCAAAACACCATAAGAGACTATTACCTCAACCCTTTTGTTCATGTTGTCATTCTGCTGCAGAAAGTCTTTGCAGTCACAATTTGGATTAACTTGACTTGTCAACGTAAACATAAACATCTTTATTTAGTGTTTGGCTCTACACAGTTATTTGCACTTTTATGAATATACTGTCTGTTCATTGCAGTCTAGTCATGTAAATGAAGGTGGTCCTTATTGGTTTATTGGGCAATTACAGAAATTTTCATTTTTTTAAGCTTTTACATTTTAACTGCAACATTATCCTATACGGAGTCCATCACAACATATAATAAGAGTTAATTAAACTCTCTCAAACATCACAGCTGCAGCAAGATAATCGAAACAAAAGAATAAACTGAATCCATGTCAAATAATAAGAAAACAACAAACAATCTACTTTAAAGGTCAACTTCACTGAAAACCCCCTTTTTTTCTTATTATTCCTGATTATAATCAGTGACTCTGAGTTTTACTCTGAGCAAACAGAGAAACTGCAGCAGGCTGGAGGGTTTTCTCTCCACCTTGTTCTTTAGAAGAAAGGGATTTTTTGTTTAAGGAGACGAGCAGCTCAGAGCCGTATCGTATCATATCGGCTGATGAGTGGCAGAGCCAGCTGGAGGCACGGCTGGTGTTCAGTAGTGATGGGAGCTCCGGCTCTTTTAAGAGAACCAGTTCTTCCGACTCTGATCACTAAAATGAACGGCCCTCTTGGCTCTCAAATGGCTCCTCAGATATACATTTTATCAAATGTTTATTATTTTAGCAACTTCTTTTATTCAACATGTAGTTAAAATGTGTCCAAATCTCCCTGCCTGTCCTTCTTTCACTGGTCTTCTCGTCTTTCTGCAGCGCTGTTTATTTTTCTTTCCTCCTCTTTTACAGATTAGTTCTCACAACCCTCCAAGGTGCTTTACCACACAATCAGTCATTCACCCATTCACACGAACGTTCACACACTGGTGATGATGAGCTACGATGTAGCCACAGCTGCCCTGGGGCGCAATGGCAGAGGTGAGGCCTGTCGAATGCTGGCGCCATTGGTCCCTCAGACCACCATCGAGTTAAGTGTCTTGCCCAAGGACACAACAGCAGCATTCTCTGAATTGAACCTGCTGCTGCTGTGGGTACTCCAGTGATATTTTTTACAGAACACTAGGTGGCAGTGTAGGAAAATGTGTTGATTGTCTCCTAACTGAAATGAGCAGCAAAGAGATGCAGCAAGACAGAAATGAAAAAGAAAATGGAAGACAGAGAGAAAAGTGATGAGGCGTGAGGAAATTGTAAACAACAGGCCCAAGGCAGAATAAACGTTGGAGAGCAAATGAGGGAGAGGAGGAATCTAGGAGGGTTAGGATGAGTTTAACCTGATTTAAGATTGGAGGCAGAGAAACCTGCCTTTTGGGGAATCTGTTCACACAAAGGAGCTGCATCAAGCGGGAGGTTAAAAGGAAATGACAAACTGACTAATGAAAAGGCCACAAGACAAAATAATTCAAATGAAACAAGCGCAAAATAAAAGAAAATATAAAACCTAGCAAAAAGGAAATGTAAGCTTTGGATTGCATATCAGACCTAATGATACATTCAAGTGCGAGCAACACCTAAATCAACTTCTTTTGCTGATAACCTGTATAGAGCTCCGGACGTCACGTGACTCTCAGAGAGTAGATGCCATGTTGGCAGGCAAAAAAGTTAAGCAAAATGAACGTGATCGGCTTGGATTTTACTCCGTCGGAGTTCACTTCACACTTTAAAACTGAAGAAATCGTTTTATATAGTCAGAAATTAAATAGACTAAACATCTCCGGCCCTTAGTGTGCCCCTGGAATACTTTTTAAAACGCCAGAAGCTGTCGGAGCAGACCTCTTACCGGATTTGAGATACCCTGACATTTATAATTTCCTTGTTAATTTTCCCTCGTCCTACTCCGGAGCATCGCTAAGAGCATACAAAAGCCTGGAGGATACAAATGGACTCAATCAGGGTTTGTTGTTAGTATCCAGATCTGGATTCTTCCTGCAAAGGACAGTGTTGTTGTCACTGGGAGGGTAAGTGGAGATTTTTGTTACCATTAGCAACAGCCCGTTGCAAGATTATGTCTGTGTGATCTGATAATTGATCAACCATTGCTTAAAAATGAAATACAGCTTAGCCGGTTCATTGCTGTGATCATAAAACACGTAAACGGCAGCACGCAGAAATCACGAGGCAACGTTTTACGTGATGTTTACTTGTTGCTATGAGTAATAAGACCGAAAAAGCCACGCCAAAATAAGTTCAGGAAGCCCACTAAGAATCGTAATAAAAGCATTTAAAATAAATACCATATACAGTTGAGGAAACGTTGGTTTAAGTACCTGATATGAAGTGGTCGCTGCATAAGTGAAAACCTTTACTCTCGGGGTCCCACAGTTTCATTTTAGACTGGAGGCTAGCACGTTTCATTCATGAAACAATAAAATTAGAATATCTGTTTTTGGAGAAAATCAATAAAGCTTTTCTGAATTTCCTTATAGAAATAAACAAATAAATAAATAATAAGGAAATATCATAAATAATGAGGAAATTACTTTCAATCAAGCAGTAGAATTGATCATAAGTTAATAAAAAAATGTTTTGAACTGCGTAGTGATGCAGCAGGTTGCAATGTTGACTCTCAGTGAGATGATTGCAGGTTCAAATCCTGGCTGTTGCCATTCTGCATGGAGTTAGGGTGTTATGTTCTCCCCCTGCAGGTGTGTGTTTTCACTGGGTACTTCAGCATTTTCCTACTGACCAGAAAAAGACACATTTCAGGTAGAGATTTTTATTTCTGGTTTGTGTTGTTGTGTTGATGGACTGAAGGTCTGTCCAGGTTGTCCTCCCAGCCAATGGCTGCTGGACAGAGACACTCGCACCCAGTAGATGTCCAGTATAGAAGATATAAGTGATAATAAGTTTAATAAAATTATTGAACAACACTTTGGACAATGATGGACGAGGAACATCCTGACACACACGCACACCTGCATGAACGTGTATGCACACACACACACACACACACACACACACACACACACACACACACACACACACACACACACACACACACACACACACACAATGCTTTAAAAGATCAAACGCCTTTATCATTAAAGATGTTTTCGTGCTTCATGCTGAAAGTTAGAGAAGTTTTGGTGTCATCTCACAGAACACCAGCAGGTGGCAGGATTTGTTTGGTTATTTTTTCTTGGGAACCAATTGAAAATAGTTATGCGTTCAGTTTTATAAAACATGTTGTTCGGTTAACTTAGCTGACCAAATTCTGAAGCTCTAAGATGTCAAAATAATAGCTAAAAATGCATATTTTATTTTTGTAGTTAAGATAAAATTCTCAACATTAACAGAAATGTGTCAGTGCGGATCTGCTTTGCTGCTGAGGGCAATAAAGGAATTTTCAATTTTAGTTTAGAACCAGTTTCTTCATGATGACTTAATTCCGAGTTTAATTAAATTAAATTAAATCTAAATTGAAACACCTTGTTAAACGTGTTATAGAATTTAACAATTACATTTGTTTTCTGTTATTTGTATCATAAATAAAAATGGCTTTATTTAAGTAATTTTGCTTATTTTTAATAAGTAATCTTTTTGTAACAGCAACATTTTTACATATAGATAAATTAAATATATTTGCATAGTCATTTAATTAACTAAAACGAAAGAAATGAATGGATACATGATTTTAATTTGTAATTAGTGATGCACCATTAATACTAATATGTTATTACTGAAATAACAGAAATAGATTTACATCAGAAAAAATAAAATTATAAAATTTCATAAACAGATGAAAGATTACAAATTTGAGTTAAAAATAAGAAAATAAAAGAGTTAGTTAGAAGCAGCTTTAAATAAAAGGGTCTTTAGCTGTTTTTTTAAAGTGTCCAAAAATTAACCCAATTTTTCTATTAATATTATTATTATTATTATTATTATTATTATTATTATTATTATTATTATTATTATTATTATTATTGTTGTTGTATTATCCTAATCTTGAGCTTTCAACCCAACTACACACACACACTAAAAGAAAATGAATGTGCGCATGCACAAACACAAGCACACCCTCCTTCCGGGGGCCGGTCTGTTGACAGACGTTTGTGCTCGTTGGTTGCAGCTGTAGCCTGCATTGCCTTGACGTCACGCTGATCAATCCTGTTCCCAGAGCGGCGCACACAGACAGGAAAAAGGCTGCTGAGTGAAACAGACTGTCAGAGAGAGGGTAAGGTGGGAGGGAGCCACGGGGGAGGAGAAAATAAGAGGGCAGTGTGAAACCACAGTGTTATTCCATGCAGGGCCGGACGTAGGGGCAGGCACACACAGGCAGCTACTGCAGAAGCTGTTAATGCTCAGCACAGGGCAGGACAGGATAGATATTTTATGCATTATTTAGTCTCCTTCTGTTCTTAACCTGGGAAATGAACTGACCTGACTTACTCCCACGTGTTTGTTTCCTTTGTGACCAAATATTTAATGTCGTTCACCACTTGGCAGACTTGGATTCTTGCACTGACATAAGGTAGGGTGGAAGTGAAGGGGGGGTGCGTTGGCATTCAGATGCATAATTTGTACAGTTTCCTGTGTGTGTGTGTGTGTGTGTGTGTGTGTGTGTGTGTGTGTGTGTATACATGTATTTTTGCTGTCTTTGCCTATTTGCATTTGCACACATGTACGTATTTAGTAGCTTATGCTCTCATTTATTTCTGAAGCCAGAGAGCGATTACTAACACAGCGTCCATCCTCTTGGGCCATACTGTCAGGAGATTCAGGCGTAAAGCCATGTGACTCCACAAAGAGCTGCAGGGATTGGCTGAGGTCATCCGTGACCTCAACATGCTGCCTCTGCCACCCCCCCTACAAACACACATACATGAAATCCCCCCCTCCCCTCCCTCTCAGTCTCTCCGCCTCCCTCCTTCCCTTCCCTCTCCCTGCTCTGCCTCTTTTTCTTTTTTTTCCTTCAGCTGGTTTTTTCCTCAGTGCTCAGCATCCTCGGCTGTGTGTAGGTTAGAGCAGCAGCAGCAGCTGTAGGATCATCTATGGCTCAAACCTGAGCATAAATCCACACCTAGCCTGGCTCCTGCCCCTCCTCTTTCATATCTTTTTCTCCCTCTCTTCCTTCTGGGCCAGTTGACAGGCGAGTTAGCCAGGGCGTTAGCCACAAGCGTACAGCTGCTCTGCTGCACATCGAACCTACTGTCCATCTGTAACCGGGGGGATTCTTCTCATCTACCCATCTCTCTACACATCCTGCTTTCATTTCAGGCTCTTTGCAGATAGAGGAATGAAAATCTGCAACCATGATGGAAGGTAAGAAACCATTTTCCTTCCTTAAAACATACCGGATGATCCTCTCACATGTCCTTGTCCCAGAGCCTTGTTTGTTGGCAAGTGTGAGTGTAAATGCATGTGTGTTATGGAGGCTCAGATCTATGCTACCCTGTGATTTTTTTTGAGTGCATACATTTTAGTGACGTGCATGTTATTCTTAGGAAAGGGCACAGCCACAGAATGTCTACCATAGGGACACACTGGTGAGGCCAATTGAGGCATTCACCTTTGTGAATGTATGTGCATATGTCTGAGGACCCCCCCCTTTTCCCACTTCCCATCGTGAGGGATTATTTGGATTTATTGTGCAGGACGGCTTACATGCCCAGCTGGTCCTCTTGTATAAATTCTCTTTGTATGATGTGCTCTAAAATGTGTGCTCGCCCTCGCCGTGCTGCTCGTCACATTGGATTCCCTCCCCTCATGAGGGCTGCACGTCTGCCAGTTCATATCCTGCATCAGTGCTGCTTCTTATGAATTTGGTCAAAAAAGGAAGGTGTTGATGACGGTGTTTTAGCATGATGTCCCTTTAACTGATGACATCAGAAGCAGGCCGGTGATATCGAGATGAATCCCTGCGGCTCTGCAGCTGGCAAATGAAACCCTCCATCCATCTGTCTCATTTATCTTTTAATTTTCATGTTTTCGGTATTTTCTGTGTACAAAATGTCAGCCAACCTTGAATTATGTAAGATTTCCTGGTCGATGTTTTGTTGCTGCAGATGCATCACTCAATCTATTTGCATAAAGAAACATATAATACTGTTTATCATCTGTTTACTCTGGTAAATTTAGGTAATAACCTCAACGCTAAACTAATGTGCTACGGAAGGATCTTATTAGCAGGCTGCCTGGTTGCGTGTGCATATTTAGAAATTAGTGGATGTAACTGCTTTCTGCTGGTTTTCCTGTGCAGAAGTAGGCCTCCAGACCCGCGGTGACTTCCATAATGACAAGTTAAAGTGAGATTCAAATTATTTGGACTTTATGAAAAACATTAAAACTCTATTACATCTTTATTCACTTTGCTGGTTTTCTAATCTGTGGTAACTTTTTAAGACATATTTGTAGATTTCTGTTGGTGAAAACAATGAGAAATGAATGAAAGTGGCTTTTTTTAATGTGTTAAAGTCACAAGTTCAGAAGTCCCAAACCATGTATAAGATCTCTCATTGCTCGTCTCAAATGTATGGAACACTGAGAAACCAGTTTTAAAATCTTATTTCTGATTATAATCAGTCCCTCTGAGTTTTTCATGCAGGCTGAACATGGAAATAGTCTCCTACACTTATCTCCTGCATTAGCTTCTGATAGAAAATAGATGGTGAAACTCTAGGATTAGAAAAGCCTACGAGATCTACGTCACACTGTCACCTAACATTCATTGATTCACCCATCTTGGCTTGCAACAGGGAAGGCAGTTGTTGTTTTAGCGTCCAGGAATCAGCAGAGAACACCTCGGCCAGTAGAAGCTTAGCATTAGCAAAACCAGTGCAGCAAACAGAATCAGTGGTAGAGCTGCATTGCTGTTAGCCAGTACGAATACAAATATCAGGAAATGAGACTCCAGATTTGGGCTGAAAGGAATCATCGATTGATTCGAATAGTTTGATTAATGAAATTCCTTGATTCTTTTCTTACTAATTCAAGGCTTCTTTAAATGTGCGCACCACAGTCTGAACACGCTGGTAACCCAAGTGCTGTGGAGGAAAATAGAGAAACTAGCAAAGACGCAAACCATTGTAAAAGGTCCCAAGTTTGGGATCTAGAGTTAAACTACGAGCAGATTAGCTAATGCTAAGCTAGCTCGTAGCACGCTCATGATCAAATGGGGAAAAACACGATGGAGGTGAATAACTAAACTCCACGAGCAGAAGAAAAATCCCCACCATCCCCTTTATTCGTGGATGTGTGGAGCTGCAGCAGATACCTCGAGTCTGGTGGTTGCTACAGAGAGTCAGAAACTCTAGTCTGCTCCACAACAGGAGTAAGGCAAGCCGTTGTAGCATGTAATTCAGAAACGCTTCTATTTTTAAATACAATTTAGACTGGATTATGTTGCCAACCTACATAATAAAACAGATAAGCCACCATTATATTGTTACTAGTAGAAATTAAATGTCATTAGCATTTCCAGTAGCTTACTGCTGAATATGTTAATGGAATAATTCCATTCTACTGCGATGTGGCTCACTTCTAGTTCCTGAAACAGGGGCATCAGAGCTTTGTTTCCCCAGAGTGCAACGCACAAGGCATTCATTCCTATAGCGACCACTGCAAATGTATTGATAAAACGAGTGATCCGTTATGCTGTAATATAAGGCTGAAATGGAAAAAGCTAGAGTTGGCCAAGCAGATATAAGCAGGTTGTAAAAACAGCCATGAACACCAACATGGCTACACATTAATACGCAACAGCGAACCACTCAGTTGGTCATCTCTTTCTGTTTTCATCTTTTTATGCCTTACACATGAAATTTAGTTTTGTTTAAGCAGGAATTTAAACACAGCTGCTCTATAGCCAGTAGTTAAGGTTATAAACAGATTTTTTTTTGTGATTACTTGTTAGTCTGATTACCTTTGTGTCTTGAGTGATTAAAAAAAAGGGTTTCCACCTTTGGAGTGGCAGTTTTAAATGTTTGTTTGGTTATATCTCCCCCTGACAGAGCACAGCCATATTTAGAGTACTGATCATTTTTCCCCCTTTGGCTTAGATTGAATAAGGAGGAAAATATCACAAAAGCAGAGTAGCTTGAGATGAGTTTGGCAAAATAACTCCTGAGTTTGACAGCTCGAAGATAAATTTCAGTGAAAGTGTTCCCTTTTGACCTCTAAAGTGGAAGCTAATGAGCTAATTTATTGTTGCTCTGCTTCCTGCTGGTGTGTTGTGCTGTCGCTGACAGACGTAGGTTGTTAAGTAACTTATTCAACAGAAAAACAGACAGTTTCCAAATGCTTCCCATCCATTAGCATGGTTAGTGCAAGCTTAGCATGGGCTGTGTTACGGCAGGATTACAATCAGGTGTTAAAATTGAACGCTAATCCTCATTAGCTCTGCTTTTTAAAGCCCAATGCCATGGCCAGCGTAGGTTGTCTCTCACTGACACACAAGGCTCAAGATGTGAACAGGTTACTTAAAAGTATTTGAGAGGTGAGAAACCTCATGCTCTTTTGAGTGATGGCAGATTATTTTCCTTTGGACACGATGTTGGGAAGAGGACAGAGGAAAAAATGAGAAAAGACAAACTGGAAGCTTTTTAATTGATGCCTAAAAAGGAATAGTTTTCTAGTTTTGAGGCTTTTAATTTAAAAGTTCGATATGTGACCAAACATGGTTGCACTGTGAAATCTGAACCATCTTTGTATAACTAAATGTAATAGTTGAATTGTTATTCATTGGTACCGATATCCAACTCAGTTTGACCCATAAAACAAGTATCAGTGTCTAACTGATAGTATGAGACACATTTTACATTTGAGGCTTTTTTCAATCTTGAATAGAAATCACATGTAAGGCCTAACATGATGGTTTACTTAAAATCCCCCTTGAATCAAGTGTGTGCAGGGGTGGTGGTGAAGAGTTTACTCAAATTTTTCGTGGTGGTGAATCCCATATGTTACTTCATGTGGATGACCAGAGTCCTGTATGCTACAGACATAATAAAATAACAAAAGTTAAAACAGATTAAAAAGTAAGACCCAATAAAAGAAATGAACTATTAAAAAACATTAAAGTAAGAGCTGTCAATTCTCACTGTGCATGAAGAATAGAACAATAGCATGGACTTTATTGATCCCACAGTGGGTAAATTCACTCATTAGGGCAGAATATACACTTAAGCTTGGGGCACACTGGAGACAAATGTGCCGCGTTGCGCCTGCGCAGTTAGTGAGAGTGGCTACAAGGGGAGCGCGGTGTTGGGTCCCAGAAGTGCCGCTTTGCAACGCTGAAGAAAGGCGCCAGTTCTATTTCAAGCACAGCAATGCCGCGGCTGTTTACAACATGCTAGGGTACTTTACAGCAGACATTACGACGCGCAACGGCACAAACCCAACTTTAAACTCCCAAAACACAACGGCAAGTCTGATCATGTAAAAACAAGAGTCACTTTCCACTTCCTGTTCTCAAGTCCCACGTGATGTGACTATCATGCGACTTTCCAAGATGCGCTCAGTGGCGCGCAGGGCTGTTGCTAGCTATTTTGGTGCCCTAAGCACAAAGGCTTCGTGGTGCCCCCCCCCCCCCCCCCCCCACACACACACACACATACAGAAAAAACAACACAATAACACAGTATGTGCAAGCGCTTCGCCTTAAATTTTCTTTAATTCTCTTGTATGCACAAACTGCTTATTATTTTCCAAAAAGTAGGATTGATATTTAGTGTGTGTGTGTGTGTGTGTGTGTGTGTGGGGGGGGGGGGGGTCATTTTGCCTTGGCCCCCAAAATGTCTTGAAACGGCCCTGGGTGTGTGACTGAGTTTTGAAGGTGATCTGAATTGTATCAAATGTATAAATATTACATGTGTATAACTTATTGTTTTATACAGGTAGAAACACGTAGTGGAGATAAATCTACCTACATTTTACTTTTCAACACTTTGTTTTGTTTTCTTGTTTTTATTGAACTATTTTCCTGTCCTGTCTGTCTCTCATCTTCCTGCATCTCCTCTAAACTCTTCAGAAAAACTGCTGCCTGGATTCTTACTTTTTCACCTCATTAGTTACTTCTGAGCAGATCAAAGGGATCTCCTGACCACAAAGCGGAGTGCGCGATTCGATGTTGCGTCAGTGAAGTGAAATCACCGCAGTGCAGGTGATGAGCTCTGCAGTAGCAGAGCTCTTGAGGCACGAATAAGACAGAAAGTAGAGAACATGAGCGGACATGAACGATCGTGTGTAAATTATAGTTTTTTGGTTGCGCCACTTTGAGAATGGATCATGCGCTGGACGCAGCAGCCTGGATCGCTGCGCAACAA